AAAAAAAAAAAAACCAGTCAAACTCAACCTGGAACTGGTTTTTAACTACTAAAAACTACATCTGAGGGGTAGAAACAAAAAAAAAAAAAATACAGTTGTTTGATCAATTTATGTAAAATCTCATAAATGGCAAAGAAAACTCCAGTCAGGTTTTTACAAAAGTTCACCTCAGCTCCAGCTGCCACGGCTCCTTCATCCGTCTTCATGGGACAGACCAGATGCAGCGTGGGAGTGGTGTCGATCTGGAGAAGTGAAAATAAATGTTTGTCAAGTTAAAACACCCAGCCCACGTGTGTATAATAAACCTAATATGTACACAATCAAAGCTGGAAACAACAGCACAACAGGCTGAAGTGAACAAACTGTCCTTCAGTGGTGTTAGCTGAAACAGCAGGTTGTTTGAGTGCAAAGTGTTAAAGCAACGAGGACAGGCTCACCCTAAACCAAAACCTTTAACAGACACCATCTTTTTATTAAACTGTATCATTTATAAACCAGTCTGTGGCTGTTCAAGACTTTCACACTTAATGTTAGATCATATCTGATCTTTATTGGTTGTTCACATTATAATTTAACTACAGCGTGATTAACCTATGGCCCTGAAAAAAACCTCAATACTGGTCCTATCATACTGGTATTGCTGTGATACCACTGTTAGCTTCACGTTAGTGTAAATCCAGAACAAAGAAAAAGAAACTGGATTTCTGTTCTGCAGCTGAAGTCGAGTGCAGTTCAAGCTTTAACACTTTATGACACTTGTATTGATGATATCAGTACCTGGATTAATCTGTATACTATATATAAATATATTGACAGATTGTGCAGAAATATTACTTGCTTTCTTTTGAGAATTTGAGTTTTTTTTTTTCAAATATGAAAACAGTATATAACATTTTAAACGTTTTAGCACCAATCTGTTTACAAAACTTTGTTTATTATCGTTCAGCTGTTTCTTTGAGCTGAACCAGAACATCCAGGCAGAACTGTGACGTTCCTGCTCGGAGCTCAAGCAGCTCCGGTGAAAGCATCGCTCAGGTAAAACACTGCAGTTCTTTTATTAGTTTTAAAAATAATGTTAAAAAATATCTTTGTAATCGTTGAATCACACATCAGTTTTAGAGTTTGCGTTTAGTTTGGGGGAGTTGAAGTGTTTTTGTTGAATGTTTAGTGATATAAACTTTTAATTGTGTTTGGAGAGGGGGGTGGGGTGTTTATGGATTTTTATTGTTTATTGCAAAATATTTTATATTGTATTGTTTTTTATTTTTCTGTTATTTGCTTTTCTTGTTTTTATTATTGTTGGATGCTGTTTTGTTTTTATTATTAGGACTGCAGATGTAAACTAGCCATAGGCTAAATCTGGTGCAATGCATCAAAAGTTTTTATGTTTATGTTTTAAATGCACATTGTCCTCATAAATAAAATTCATTCATTCATTCATAACCCTGAAGAAATTTATGTGGTTGTTCTTAGGTGAAACATGATACAGTTTTATAAACTCTTGTGTGATTATTTCTGTGATTAAACAAATTATTTTATGTACAGACTGGTCTGGATGGCAGGACGATGTGGTCACCCAGAGCAGGAAGTAAACAAGTAAACATGCCTGAAAACATATTCAACACACAGTTACTGAACGTAAAAGAAACACAAGCTGGAAAAGGAATTATGTTGGGAGGATTTGACCCTGGAGCAGGAAAGTCCCGCACCCCCCAGTGGGGTCAGATCCTGAAGAAGTTGTTATAGGCAACACATCCTGGATTCTTGGCTGAACGCACGGAGAGACRAGCATTAAAACCTGAAACTCAGTCCAGCACTGATGTATGAACTCTTTTCACATTCAGACATTCAAGTATTGGTGTATTTCCTATCTGGTTATGAACACGTAATAAAGGTGAAYGAACACGTCATGACTCCTTTTCACCCCTAACCTCGGTTTTGCCTGCAGTGTGAACGCAGCCTAATGCTGCGTTCACACCGAACGTGATTTCAGCTTCAAAATCGCATCCAACGCTTCAAGTTGGTCGCTTGTGCACTTTGAGGTCAGA